CCCACACCTAAGCAAGCATAGGACTTTTCAAACTGAGGAGGGTTGGGCTTTTAAAAGCTGTGTGATGCAGACTTTAATGTTTGTATATGGTTTTTAAAAATAAATTTTACTATTTTAACATTTAATATTTTTAACTTTATAAATTATTTAATTGTTTTAAGTGGCATATTTATACTTTTTAAATCTTTTTGTATTGTTTCAAATTTGCTGTTGGCCGCTCAAGTCCTTATATTGGGAGAAGGGCAGGAAATGTGTGTGTGTGTATATATATATATATATATATATATATATATACTCCTTCCAGTCACTCCAAAATTCCAAGATTCCAATTTCATACTCCCATTTCTAAGCAGGCAAAGGAAACTCCTTCCTTTCATCAGCATGAAGGCTGCATTTGCTTTCTCTCAGTATACATCTCCCACTATATATGCATACGTATGCACATGCACAAACCATTATTCAGTTATGGGGATTTGCAGAGTTGGCTTTGGGATGGACTGGGTAGACTTGGTTTTTCAGGAGCCTCTTTGTACCACTTGCTGTGATGGGATGTTGGATTGGTTGTTCGTTGTTGTGTGCCTCAAGTCATTTTTGACTTATGGCAATCCTAAGGCGCACCTGTCATAGGGTTTTCTTGGCAAGATTTGTTCAGAGGAGGTTTGCTATTGTCATCATCTGAGGCTGAGAGTGTGTGACTTGCCCAAGGTCACCCAGTGGGTTTTTATGCTCGAGTGGGGAATCGAACCCTCATTTCCAGAGTCTTAGTCCAATGCTCAAACCGATACACTATGCTGGGATGCTGAAAGCCATTTGCTAAAGGGCTGAGATGCTTCCTCTTCTGTAGGCCACCTGCAGCATCATTTACCACCAATCAGTCTTATCTTTTATCAGAGATGTGTCTCAGGGTTTGGTACCAAAGGAAATCATGGGAAGGCTTAGACTTGCAGCCAGCTCCAGCTCCGAATTTGCTTTTACTGAGCCAGACCATTTTTACAAACCAGTCCACATACTTTTATCACAGGTGAGAATCTTGGCTGTACCTGCTTTGTTGAGAAGACACCTGTTTCCGATCCACAGCATGCAGCTGCTTCCAAGCATGTGTAAAACCATGTGTAAAAATCTATTGAAAATGTCTTTGGTTGCTTCACTGCATTCAATTAACAGGGAAGGAAGACTTGCTGCCTCTCCCAGAACTCGTCTAGCTAATTAATTTGACAGAGAAGTTGATTTGAAGAGAGAAATGTGCTAGCCAAGACTGTCACCCCCTCCCTCCTCCTGTGAAGCCCTTTTATTGGGCAAATAGTTGAAATGTTCTTTTTTAAAATTACAAACAAGATGGTCTGGGCAGCTTTACAGGGATAAATCAAGCTACTTAAAATCTTGGGCAGTTGGAGGCCGATTAAGAAGAAGCTGCTGGAAATGAGCTTCCCCCCAGCTTGGTTTCTTTTAGGGACAAGCTGGCATCTAGAGAGAATTCCTGCTGTTACTATCCAGATTTGGCTGTGCGGATGGGTGTATCTTGCTCTGAAATCTTCTCAGCCACCCCAGTCCAGGCTGAGTGGTTGTCCTTGGAAATGATAGCTGTGGGATTCTCCTTTGTGGTCTGTTTTGTATGTGATCAGCTTGCTGGTGCTCCTTTGAGCGTGAAGGAGATAAGGCTGAAGCAGAGACGAGGCCTATGAAGATTTGGATTTGGTGTTGGGAGGCTTGGCTAGAAGGCAGCTGAAATGAAGGACGACTGATAAGGGGAAGGAAATTGGACCTGCTCCTTCCTCTTCTTGCTAAATCTGGCTTTTTAAGTGTGCATTTTTAAAACCTTTTGATGAGCCAATCCTCAAGTTGAAGGTTAAAGGACTGGGTGTACTGCTAGGGTGGCAAAAAAGAAAGTCTAGAAATTTTAATCAAAAAACTGACCCCAAAAAACTGAGTCAACTTATCTACAGGTCAATAAGTACTGTATTTTAACTCTTATTTTTTTTAAAAAAGGAACCATCCCCTGGTGAAAGGCAAGAGTGTAATCTTTCATGGAAGCACCAATCCTGTCTATTGTCTCATCCATCCATCCTTTAGCGCAGGGGTAGGCAACCTTTCCCCTTTAAGGGCCGAGGGACTTCAGCTCCCAGAATCCCAGGAGCTCTTGGCCAACATGGGACTATTGGCCAACATGGCTGAGGCTTCTGGGAGCTGAAGTCCCTCGGCCCTTAAAGGGGAAAGGTTGCCTACTCCTGCTAGCATAAACACAAATAGTTATATCTGCTGGAATTTTGTAAGTTTTTGGCATTGTTTTCCTTTGCTTCATCCTTTACATCCTTGTTGCATGCTCCTAGGTTTCATTCTCAACTTATTCATGGGTCATATCAAAATCCATAATTTTGTGCCCCCAAATCTGCCCTTGATTTATACATGAGGTCAACTTATAGTCAGGTATGTATGGTAAAAGCCTGTCCTTAGCAAGTTGCTTCTTCATTGACCACTCTACCATGAAACTCCTGTGCACTGTAGAGGAATCTGGCATGTATATTCAAGTCAGTTGTCCCTGTACAGTTGCAGAATATACTCTAAAAATTGCTGCTCTGCAGCATTTCCCCTACAAATTCATAATTGAAGGGTCTACTCTAGATAGATACTGATTCTCTCACCTTTTGGATGGTTTGTTCAGTTACAGCAGGGGTAGGCAACCTTTCCCCTTTAAGGGCCGAGGGACTTAAGCTCCCAGAAGCCTCAGCCATGTTGGCCAATAGTCCCATATTGGCCAATAGCTCCTGGGATTCTGGGAGCTGAAGTCCCTCAGCCCTTAAAGGGGAAAGGTTGCCTACCCCTGAGTTATAGAATTCCTCAGGCTTCCAAAATTCATATGGAGCATAATGTCTTGTGTTAAGAGCTGGTGTGATCAAGTCAAATGGCTGCATCTTGGTGACCTGGATTTTTATCTTTGACCTTGGTTGAGTTTATAGCACTCCACCTTCTTGTTCCCATTAATAATATGGAAACATATGTCTTTTGGGGTTATCATGAGGATAAATGAGTTGAAATGATTCATTGAAAAATGAAATTACAGACTTGGAAGGGACCTCAAGGATCTCTAATCTAACCCTCTGCCCATACAGAAAACCCACAGCCTTGATAAGTGAGCAATTTCTACTTTAAAACTTCCAATGAAAGAGAGTCTGCTACTGTCTAAGGCAGTCTATTTCTGGTCATACAATCTTTGACATACGCATTGCTGTTTGGGAATAAAACAAGAAAATCAAAGGAAGATTGGAAAGAGAAACAACCTCATTGGGATGTTTTCACAAATCCTAATCCCATGCTTCTCAAAGCTTTTACCCTTATGACCCCTTTTACTTCTACATGCGGAGATCACACACCTCTGCTTGACACAATATATGAATACAAATATTTTGTTTGTTTAGTCTGCATATTTTTGTTCATACATTAATGTACAGTTGGTCCTCCATGTTTGTGGCTTTGACTTTTGTGGATTTGATTATTTGCGATTTTGATTAATAAGTTTTCTAGGAATCTCTAGGGCCTCTAGCACAACTCTGCCAGAAGTTGACCATAGAGTTGTGCTGGAGAACCTAGAAGTTACAAGAGAAAACACTTCTCTAGACTTTTGTAGGTCCTCCAGCATGATCAATTTTTGGCAGATGTGACCATAGAGTTGCACTGGAGGACCTGGAGATTCCTAGAGCGGTGTCCTCTCAGGTAAAAAGAATAGTGGTTTGCTTTTATGTGTGGTTTTTCCACATTCATGGGAATCCATCACCTCTAACCCCAGCTAATATGGAAGGACCACTGTATATTCATATTCTAACATTTTATAAAGAAATAGCTCTCCTCCTTGTCCTCGTCCTCCTCAGTCAGAGGCTCCAAGGACCCTGCTTGCCTTCCTCCCCACTCAGGACAGAAAAGTTTGGGAATCAGGGCTTCCAAGTTTTGTGCCCCTTGAACAATTTTTGACTCCCCACTGGGGATCCCGATACACGGTTTGAAACCACTGTCCTAATCCATTAGAGATTAGGTAGAAACAGAGATGATGGTTTCTAGGCTTTTATTGGTTGTTGTGTGCCTAAAAGTTTTTTCCGACTTATGCTGACTGTAAGACAAAGCTATCATGGGGTTTTCTTGGAAGGATTTATTCAGAGAAGGTTTGCTGAGAGCATGTGATTTGACAGTGGAACACACTCCCTCGGAGAGTGGTGGAGTCTCTTTCTTTAGAGGTCTTTGAACAGTGGCTGGATGGCCATCTGTTGGGGATGCTTTGATTTTGAGTTCCTGCATGGCAGAATGGGGTTGGACTGGATGACCCTTGTGGGCTCTTCCATCTCTGTGATTCTATGACTTGCCCAAGATCACCCAGTGGGTTTTCATCTCTGAACTGGGAATCAAACCCTAGTCTCTAGAGTTGTATGTAGTCAGACACTCAAAGCACTACACCACGCTGTTTCTAGGTACACAACATATATTCTTATATGGGTTGTCATTACAGTTTCACATTTATTCCCGTCCAAATGGATTGTTAGATAATGCATTGCTTCCACACCTCACGACTGACAGACTCAGGAAATTCACACTATCAAGTTGCTTGTCAGATCTATATCATTTCACATATCTCTTTGAGAGCTTACTAGCAGGGTCACAATTTGCATCTTTCTGTATCCCATCATCCTTTGATCCTACCCCCGCAACTACAGTATGTAAGTGTACTAAAATACAGCTGTGATACTGTACTCCCATCAGTGCATCTGAGGAACTGGATTAAAATCCACCAAAAGTTTATATAATAGTTATTATGACTCAGTTGATGTTTAAAAAACAATGTTATAGCTGTTTGAGATAGGTGGGTGTCTGCCTTCAAGTCATTCCTGACTTACGGCGACTCTAAGGTGAGTTTATCATCAGGTTTTGTTGGCAGGTTTCTTCAGAGGGGGTTTGTTATTGCCATCCTCTGAGGCTGAGAGAGAGTGACTTGCCCAAGGTCACTCAATGGGTTTCCATGGCCAGGCCGGGATTTGAAACCTGGTCTCCAGAGTCCTAGTCCAATGCTCAAACCACTATGCCACATGGACTCTCTGTTTGACATATATTTGTAATTTATAAAGCTTGATTCTCTGTTTTCTTAATATTTTTTAAAAAATTGTGCATGTCCTCTGTACTGTACTTCACTCAGCTTTGCAGTATTTCTGCCTGTTTTTGTTGTGCTGGCTTGCAGTGATGTATGCCTTCTGCTCTGACAACTACAAGGCTTTGAGGTGCAAATGATTTTTTTTGTGTGACCTCATCTGGAAGTCTAAAAGGGGGCAAGTAGACAGGCATGCTGTCGCTGTTGGAGCGTTTGACAATTCTGGCGATTTCACGCAGGGTCTGACACCAGGATGGGAGAGAGCCACTCTGCGTCTTGTGATGGTCTTCCAAAACCCGCTGGCCAGTTATGTTAGCCAATGAAGGGTCTGGAAGCAATTGACTGGGAGCTGCTTGGCTCACTCTTCCTCTGTCTCTCTGTAATGGTGTTGCTGGCTTTAAGCTTCTCTTTCTCTTGCTCTGTATCTGTGCGTGTGTGATAGAGAGAGTGTGTGCTTTACCTGGCAGACTTTGGATTTAGGCGCCCCTCCACATTTGCAGATTTGACTTTTGTGGATTTGATTATTCGTGGATTTTATTAATATGTTCTCTAGGAATAGTTAGGTCTTCCAGCGTAACTTTATGGTCAACTTTAACCGCTGAAGGACCTAGAAATTCCTAGAGAGATCTTTCCACTAGGCATTTGTAGCTCCTTCAGTGCAATTCTGTGTTCAGTGCCCAGCAGATATTGACCACAGATTTGCACTGAAGGACCTAGAGATTCCTAGAGAGGTATTCTCTCAAGTAAAAACATAGTGCTTTTTTATTTGCAGCTTTTCCACTTTTGTATCCCTAACCCCAGCGAATATGGAGGGACCACTGTATTTCCAGACTAGTTCCTGTGCAGCAAAACAAGATAATCAAAGTCACAAGTGGAGAGTGATGGCATTGTAACAAAGACCTTGAACCTCAGGAATTACTAAAGTCCAAGTCTTCTATGGGATCTTTTATCCTATGTTTACGGAGGTGGCTAGGGAATAGACTGATAGAGACAAAACTTTCCAATGAACTGTAATTTATTTGGGGATTCAAACATACAAAGAAACCCTAACATACATGCACACACACAAGAACTCAGGAGTAAAGTAGTTAGCTTGGATAGGAAACACAAGCCTTTCTAATGGTGATAATTACCTGAAGGAGGCTGCTCCAACAATGAATGAAGAGGGATAGACTCAACCATTATGAAAGGGAAAAGACAATGGATAGAGCCAGGGACTCTGTTTAGAGATCACAGTAGTGCAGTGTCACCAGCATTTATACCCTTAATCCTAGCCTGAGGTGAAGAGTTGCTGTTGTATATCAAAGGATTCCGATTGCTATGCTTTGAATTAGACAATTTCCAAAAGAGGGGAGATAGGATGGTGATGTTATCTTCAGCCGGACACATCCTGGCTGGCACTCATAAATCTTCTAGGTGTGAATGTCCTGCTTTGCGGCTCCTAAGCCTGGCATTTTTGACCTGCAAATGGTTGTAAAATGCAGATGTAACTTTGTTTGGAGTGCCTACGTGATGTGCCCGCTTTGAGCTCATGGCGATGAAAGCTCCTTCCAGCCCAGGGCTCTGACAGGGACCCAAAGGGGTCTTTATATCAAACCAACCATTGTAACAGTATGAAGCCACTACTTTAAAAAAAAAACACTAGTACAGTGGTGGTGAACCTATGGCACTCGTGCCAGAGGTGGCATTCAGAGGTGGCACTCTGTGGGCACGTGTGCCGTGTCACTCCAGCACAGAGTTTGCCAAAGTTCACTACCAAAAAGCCAGAGGGATGTGGCACTTTGTGATAAATAAATGGGTTTTGGGTTGCAGTTTGGGCACTTGGTCTCTAAAAGGTTCGCCATCACTGCAGTATTATGTCACACTGCTGCAATGTTTATTTGTAATCAGCTGAATGGACTTTTGTGACAGATCCCTTCACTTTTTCTGTGAGGTCTTTGCTACTATGTACTCCAGGGTTGGAAAGATAAACATTTACCATCTTCTCATTCAATGGTCAGAAGATCTTGCTGCTTTTGCAGTTTTATATACTTCAGTTTCAAGAAACCATAGCTGTCATCTTGCTGGAGACATATGCAGGCTTATCTTGCCTGATGCCTGCTGACTGAACTTATGCACTGTTGCAAAACGGAAGTAATCGTGTTTTGGGTATAGAGCAGGAGTTCTGCAGGCAGGGCTGTTGTGTGCTGGTGCATATTGTTCATTGGTGAGCATTGTGCATTAAACACAGTTGTTCATGGATGCAGATTGCCCATGTGTATGCACATTTAGTTGTGCAGCACTGCAATTCATGAATGAAGTGTCATTGCACATAACTCTCTGATCTTAAAGTCAGATAGATTGCCTTCTCCTCAACGTAGAATCTTAGGCTGTGTTTTTGGAAATAGTGTCAGCAGCAAGATCTTCTGGCATAGTAGTTTGAGCATTGGATTAGGACTCTGGAGACCAGGGTTTGAAGCTTTGAAAACCCACTGGGTGATCTTGGGGAGTTACACTTTCTCAGCCTCAGAGGATGGCAAAGGCAAACCCCCTCTGAAAAAAAACTTGGCAAGAAAACCCTATGACAGGTTTGCCTTAGGGTCACCATAAGTTGGAAATGACTTGAAGACACATCATCATCATCAACAACAACAAATATATAAAGCGTATGTCTCGTCCATGTTCATATTCAAAGTATCCCCCACTTTTTTCTGGTATTCTTCCCCCCCCCCCCACTTCCACTCTAAAAAAACCAATTATATTTTTAAAACAAATCTTTAGATGTAGATAAATTAATATCATTTAGGCGCATCCCTTGGCCATAACTTTCACTGTTGGTCTCAGAAGTACTTGGTGCCTCAGGGGACTATTGCTTTCATTTGGCCTAAGGGGATGCCGATCATTTTGGTCTCCTCCCTTTCATCCCTTCAGCTTTTTTGCAGGAGAATGCTGCTGAGATGGTCTTGCAAAGCAAACTGCCAGGCCAAATGGAGGGGCAGCAGATGTCATGGGTACCTGTTCTTTCACTTGCATGGACATACAAAAAATGAACCTAGGGTCTGATTCCAGCATTTTTGGGAAAGATGGTCCTTCAGAGGATACCTCTGGTCTACAACTGTTATGGAAAGGGGTAGAGTTTAATTTCTTAGATGAGATCTGCTCCCCCACTGCTTTACTCCCCTCTGTTGGATGTTGTGTCTTTTATTTACTCTTTCATGTTTCCTGCAGCCAGTGGAGTGTTTCTTCCAACATCTTCTAGCAATTTTTCTCATATGTCACTTAATCCTCCTGTTGCATTCAGGCCTTGTCAACTAATTAGCAGTAATTCAAAGCAGCAAGATGAGCGCCCCCCCCCCCCCCCCCCCCATCCTACAGATGTCAGGGTTAGTAAGAAGTTTCCTCTTGGACTGAACCAAGGGAGAATACTTGAATATTGGTGTTGAATGTTGATGTGCACTTTTGGCAGAACTGGTGTCTGCAAAGTTGTTTATCAATATGCAGCTGTCTTGCCATGAAATCATAGAATCAAGAAAATAACCAAGAACGTAGCATAAAGGTTCCCAGTGCTAGGACAAGGGGATTATTTATTACTTTTCATAAAATCCTTAACATTGGGGTGGGCAACTGTGGTAGATCCAAGGGCCAATTTTCTTCCCCTGGGACCCTTGAGTTGGAAGGGGCTGCAATGTCCTCTTATCCCAAACCCATGCCGTGCAAGAATACACAACTGCAGCCCGAAAGTAAGTTGATTACCTATGTCTTGGCTCTGCACCTAAGAACTCAGCAAAAGACCTGTGCTCATTTCGGAGTGGGGATGGGGTATGAGTAAGTTACTCTGTAACCCAAGGAAAGAGAAGGGTGTGACAGTGTGAAATGCAAGAATTTGCAGAATCATAGAGTTGAAAGAGACCTCCAGGGCCATCGAGTCCAACCCCCTGTCATGCATCTGTTCAGAACGGGTGTTTTTTCACTGGGGGCTATACAGGCACCCGCTTTGTCTAAAACAATTTCAGGAAGAAAATCCTTATTCAAAAGCCTAAGGCAAGTGCTGTTCAGGGACAGTTTACCTCAGTCTTTACCTCCGTCTACCACAAGAATGAATGGGATGGCTACTGTTTTGTATCCTGCTTGTAGATTTTGCAGAATCACGGACAAACCAAGCGACTGGTTGGTACCAAGACAGTCATGCATCCTGGAGCCATGTGGTTTGTGACCAAAGCTTGGAAAAAGTTACTTGTTGAGACTACAATTCACAGACACCCTCCCCTGCCATTTCCAGTCAGCATGTCCAGTTTTCCAAGCTCTAATTGTGAGTCTGGTCTGTGTTGGACATCTGTTTCTTCTCTCCATCGAACCATCAAAGAGAAGTGGTTTTTCCTGATTACGGCCAGCTGTTGTGTCCCACATGTGTTAATTCCATGCACGCCTGTGTGCACATGCAGCACTGTTTTGATAGGGAGGGGATTTGAGGGATTGTCTCACAATGTCATGAGAAGGTTGCCTGCCCTGGGCTGGTGGATGAGTGGGGAGAGACATTGTGAGCTACATAACAATCTCAAGAATTAGAAGATTGCACATCTAGGGTTTAAGGCAGGGATAGGCAAACTTTTTGAGTTGGGGGCCGGGTTGCTGTCCCTCAGACAATTGGGGGTCCGAAGCACCAAAAATAAACAAATAAATAAATATTAAAAATAATTTTAAAAAATTAAAAACTTAAAAAATATGCATGCACACTCTCTCAGCCCCAGAAAAGCCATGGCAAAACCCCTGTGGATATTTTGCCAAGAAAAACCCAAGAACAAGTAATAACAACAATAATCAATATCATCATGGCGGGTGGTGGCGCCGGCGGCCTGGGGCTGGTCCAAAGGCCTCGGGGGGCCGCATCCCCCCCCCCGAGGCCTTAGGTTGCCTACCCCTGGTTTAAGGCCTAGAATAGGTTGGGTAACTGCTGTAGGTACAGGGCTA